TTTTTACGTGACGAGTAATTATCCCATTCCGCTTATACGACTAACGGTTTCACGTAATTTTCTTTCTGGTGGTAAACAACACATTGATATTTGCTCTTCCACAGCTAAATTTGACTGAGTTGCAGCGGGACAAAGCTAAGCAAGAAGCAATGGAGTGGAAAGAACGTTATGATTTGGCACAAACGCAACTTCATTTGTCCACCGAACTGCGCAATTTATCTATACAAAAGCTGAAGCAACTACAGGTAATATTCTATAGAAACAACAATGCATTATTCTTCTATTAAAAAATTAAACAATTTTTCACAGTCCAAATTGCGTACAGATTTAGAAGATGTAGAAAAGGTATTATATTTGGAGAATGCTAAAAAATGCATGAAATGTGAGGAGAATAATCGCACAGTCACTCTAGAACCATGTAATCATTTTATACTATGCGACTCTTGCGCCTGCTCTGTGACGGAATGCCCGTATTGTCAAGTGTCCGTAGTTACAACACACACTTAAAGCAACTAACAACACAAAAAAAAAAACTAACGCTTTCAGTACAAAAAGCTTAGTTATATTTGTTTCAATCAAATTATTTATTTAAAGTGTAAAAATAGGTTTTCAAATAACCAAGTATTGGACAAACATGAAGGAGAACAAAACAACAAATCATTAAACAGTCGAATTGAAATTAGCTTATAAGTAAACATATATAAATTGTGTTATTCGCACAACTAGCGAATAAGTTTAGGTGTCAAAAATCAATGAAATCCTAACTAATATATTTAGTATAAAAAATAGTGCTATTCGAATTTTCAGTAACTAAACTTCCAAGCAAACAAAACAAAGCAATTCATCAAGAAGCAATGAAAAAATTGTTTCTATTCCATTCTTTTGCACTTAATATATTTACAAAAAAAAAAAAGAAAACAAAAATTAATTCAATTCACATGTATACATAATTTTTTACCTTTTTTACCATTTTCATTTCCGCACATTTGCATATGTATGTATGTAATATTTTAACATTATATTTTCATAAGTCAAATTCTGTTTGCGTTTTTTATTACCTAATGAAGTAACCGAATTTTATGTTCAAATATTCAATATGCCTCGGTTCAAACCAGTCAGTTTTAAAAAGTTGGTTTTGCATTGATATGACAATTTTTTGTGATCATAAGAAAATTTTGAAAAAAAGTTGTACATGCACTTGCTTATATGCAAATTAACACACACATACCTTATATGACATTAAACTTACAAAAATGTAAATTTATTTATATATAATTTACTTTAACTCTTTGTTTAGGAACAAATCAATTAAATTAGTATTCTATTTTTGCTGTCATAGTATTAAATATGGACTTGACGTCACCAGTGCATCCTTATAACTGATTACTCTAATACTATTATAGGTTATATAAAATATTTTTTCTTTTTAAAACCCGCAGTTTTAACTGTTGCAGTGATTTTTCATGATCATTAAATTAATATAATTAAAGCGAATCATTAAAAAAATTGTAGATATTTTTGTGTACAATTGATTTTTGTTAAATGTAAGGAAATCCATGAACAGAAAAATGGGTATGAAGATTAAAGGTAAATTTCATCTTAAAGCATAGTATACAGTTCTCAAAAGAAACAAAAGTTCAAGAAATTGAAAAGAAATTTTCTTCTATCAAATTTTCTTAAAACAGTTTACACTTCTCAAGAACAACTTAGAGCAAAAGCAAAGTATTTTTATCAAGCAACAGAAACAAAAAAAAATGTCTTCAGATTTTCTCGACAGCTGTATACTAAGCTTTCACACAAAAAAATTGTTCAGATCAGAAAATAAATATTTGGATTTTAATCATTTTTTTGATTGTAACTTTGGGGAATTTTCATATCACCAAAGTAAAACTTTATATAGCTGGATAATTTGCGCTGTATTATTTTAGCAATATCAATGTTTTGTTTTAGTCTAGGTTATTAGCATAGAAATGGGGAATAAGGTGACGGAAACTGCATACAAAATACAAGAAAAGAATAAGTTAAGGTTAAGTTTACAACTAAGGTATTTTCCCAATCCGTAAACTTTCTTAAGTTACTTTTCTAAACGTGTTCTTCAGCGCAATTCACTTTAGAATTGTAAATTTTGTTTGGTTGTAGAATGTTTTAATATTTTTTTTATATACATATAGCGATTTCGAGAGAGCGCTCTAAATTGTAATGATTTATTGCTTCATGGTCATGATTTAAAATCCCTTGCATGTTGATATTTTGTTTTTTGTGCTATTTATTTAAAAATTTTTATGCTGGCTGATTTAAATTTTGTACCAATTTATACATTTTGCTCATAGTTATAATGGTACATACTCGTATTTTTGTCTTAGTTTTAAGTATTCAAGCTCAAATGATATCGTAAAAAAACAGGCAACATGTTTTTAATGTGTTCAATTTGGTCACATACAGTGTCGGTCAAAGTGGAAAAATGAATGGTGTTTCGTTTTTAATATTTACAATGCTTTTCCAGCTAAAGTTCCAAAAATTTTAATCTAAATTTCGAGCGTTTCAACCAGAATTTATATAAATTTTTTCAGTATGTAGTTAACAACTTTATAAAATTTTAGTAAAGTGCAAGTTTTAAGCGGCTAAAAAATCGCATTGATTTATGTTTTTTTTTTTTTTGCTGACGGCTTTTTTTTTTGGGGGGTTTGGGGTTTGGTTGGCCGGAAACTAAGTTCTCTAAACGCCAGGCTCTTCCTCCGTATTCTTAGTTAACTCTCAGAGTTTTGTAGTTCCCGTTGTGCTACACGATTGCGTAGCTGCTTATATGCAGGTGAGTTGTGTCGTCTGAGGAATCCTTGCTTAAAGTGAATCGCGAGCTTGGATGTCAGCGCTGCTCATTGATGGCAGGGTTGATCGCCGTTGTGCTTGTTCACAGTAGATTAGTGACACTAATTGAACTTAGTGTTTCGTACGCACAATGAAGACGAATGCATTTGTTTAATGCAAAGTTGACGGTGTATAGGAATGATTTTTTTTTATTTTTTTTATTTTATTTTTTATAGTATATGTTTTTCCCAGGTGAAGAACGAAGTGGACGGTATTATACCACTGATAAAGATTTTATTTTATGAACGTACATATTTAGAATTGAACCCTCGCTTTTTTTGAGAAAATTGGATAACTGAATAATCTTGTCATGATTCCAGTCGTGAAGTATATCGAAAAAAGTTGGTGTTATTTTGAAAGATGGAGAAGCCATCTCGAATGCGACTTAGGAGTGAGCATTGGAAGGTTTGGTGCAGGTAACTGTCCTGAAGTCCATATCTGCAGATGTTAGAGTTTAGGACTTTAATCTTGTGCAAATATTCGTTGTCGTATGTCCGTCCCGTGAGTATTCTATTTATTGTTTTTGTTTCTCTAGGCTCTAGGGTTTTTGCATAGAACCAGGGCTTTTTGACTTTTGTAGTGAAAATTTGGGCAAAAAGATTGGGTTTGATGGCCGAGAATGCGAGGACCTCCTCGTACCTATTGTTTTCAATTTCGTCACGTATCCTCCTACTCGCCTCCTCTTTGGTAAGTTTGACCTGTAGAATATTGTTTGAGTTTATGGCATCTTTGGCAATCTGATCAGCCTTTTCATTCCCTGCAATCTCTTTATGACTTGGGGTCCAGATTATTGTTACACGGACAAAATCAGCTTGCGCTATTGTATTGTGAATCGTGGCAATAAGGTGGTTTTGGGTTCTTTCCTTAGTGAGTAGTTGACAGGCTATCAGACTGTCCGTAAAAATTGCCACTTTCGTGTACTGTCGATCTTTTGCAAGTAGTAAGGCTTGGAGTATGGCTATCATTTCTCCATAACTGGAGGAGGACTTAAAGTCAAGTTTAAAGGCGTGCTCTGATTTGTCCTGGGCATTGAAGACTGCAATCCCAGTAGAGCTACTGCCCACCGAGGCATCTGTGAAGAGGATACTGAAATTGGACGCTTTAAAGTCGTGTATTATTTGGTTATATGTCGCTTTGATTGTTTCTATTGGTAAGTTGGTTTTCTTGTCACTTAGAGTTCTGGTTATTATACTTAAGTTAGTAGTGGATATTGCTGTGTCAACTATTTCAAGATTGTTGAAGATATGCCTAAACTGATTGAAAACCTGACTATAACTAGAGTTGACGCAGTCCTCATTAAAGAGTTGTTCCTTAAGGGAGTCGTCAGTCGAAATATTGTTGAGTAACTCTTTGGCTGTGAGCCACGTTGCTCTTTCACTGGGGGG